TCTGCCTACCTGACATCTCTGCTTAGATGTTTTCCAGGCACTTCTAGCTTAATGTTTCCCAGGCTAAACTCATCATCTCCCCTATCCAGCCAAATCTGCCTAAACTGTTTCTCCTCCTGTGGTCCCTACCTTCAGTAAATGATATCATCCCTTCTGTTGCTCATGCCAGAAAATCTGGGAACCATCCAGGACTCCTCCCTCTCTTTTACTCTCCACATCTAGTCAACCACAAACTTAAATTGATTCAATCTTCCATTATCCCTGAAAACCATCCACTGTTTTATCACTACTGTTACCACCCCAATCCATCATTAGCTGTAGCCTAAGGTATATTGCAAAAACACCCAAATACTTTTCATCCTCTCCAAAATATTCCCCATTCAGCAAGACTGATCTTTCTTAACTGCCAATCTGATCATGTCCTGCCCCCATTTAATCCTTTTAATTTATTTCCATTGTCATTATAATCAAGTCCTACTCTTTAGCTTGATTTTATAAGGCTCACCTCAATCATCTCTCCAATCACTTTCTCCTCAGAATGTAATGCTTCAGTAATGTTGGCCTTTTCTCATCAAAGATAAAATGTCCTCTCTCACTTTTTTGGCCTCCAAACACATTCTGTTTCAGCTCTCAGTATAGACAATACTTCCTAAGGAAGGTCCCTTATCATTGGTGTATATGAAGTCTTAAATGCTATGTAGCATTTAAATTATAACTGTTACTACGAAGTTCTCATTAAAACAGTTATCTACTAGAGTTACATATTTAATGTTTAGCATAGTAGACTATATGCTACGAGACAATGAAACATCTCTCTTGTCACTGCTATGTTTTAATGCCTTGCATAGTTCCTGGTTCATTTTAACCACTCAGTAAGCATTTATTGATAAGCAGGAGGGAAGGAAGAGAGGAGGGAGAAAAAGAACAAATAATAGTCAGTCTTGGGTGAATTACTAGAAAGGAAAAAACCAGGAAATTTGTTTAATAACATGCTTCAGACTTTAAAAAGTATTTACACATTCATTTCACATTTGTTTCTTATAACAACACTGGGAGGAAGTATTATTATGTACTTTTTACAGCGAGAAAGCGGGCTAATGAAAGAGGTAGTATGTCTCATCATGTTTTTTCTTCCACCTGAAATCTCATTTCCTTAATTGTATCCACTTTCCATTCCTTGAGATATAGCTGAAATATCACCTGCTCCTTAGCATGTCTCCTTTTCTCGTCACGGCATTAATAGTATAATTTTCTTCATCTTCTGTAATCCCACTGCATGCTTTATGTGCTAATGATTCTTAGCACAATGTTCTCTACATTGTACCTATTTTTGTGTTTCATTTCAACCTCTAAAAAAGTAAAATCTTTAAAGAAAGAATTCTAATCATCCTGATATTAATCACCACAGGATCTAGCACAGAGTAGATGATCAATAAAAATATGTTAAATGGAGGCCATCTCTAAGATCTAGTCCAATCTTTTCGATCTACTATAATGAAAAAGCCAATTTAGTAAGTTATTTCAGATTATCCAAAGGCCACACAATAGCATGCTACTCCTTGCTTCTTTTTGTCTCCTTCTTCCAACATCTCCATGCATGGAATATGAGAGGAACAGTAAACTTGGATTTATGTGGTTTCTAGCTGGTGCTGACACTTACTAGTTACATAAATACTCCCAGCCTCAGTTTCTGCAGAGGTGAAGATACAGTTCCCAGTTGTCTCGCAATGCCAGTTCCTAGCAGTGTCTACCACATAGCAATGAACACTCTTAAGAAATATTAATGATTTATGAGTCTTGGACACTGTTAAGAAATATTAATAAGTTATGACCATCAGAAACCTGATGCTACAGAGCCCTAACCACAATCCTTAAGAAGTCTAATATGTAAATAAAATAGCAGTGAACTAAAACAGGCAGAAAACTTCTGAATCTTCCAGCTTCTCCAGTGAAGATGAAGCTCTTCACTGGAGCTTCATCTTTAGCTCCAATGAAGCTAGAATGAAATTCAGCTTCATTCTAGAAGCTGAATCTTCCAGCTGCTAGATGTCTCCTCAAGGCAGAACAGCCTTGAGTGGCCACACATTTATATAATGGTTTGCCAGTTGTATCTCATGTTGATTGGCTTTCTATAACTAATTAACTACCGGTCTATGCTAAGACTTGAAGGCCTTGGTACCTGTTACAGCCCCTTATAAGAGGTGAAGAAGAATGTCTGTTCACCATGAAAAGGTGAAAAAAGGGTGTTTTCCATATATATATGTAAATACACATATATATACACACATACATACATACATACATGTATGTATAAATATATACACACACACATACTTATGTGTATATTCCAAATTTTATATATATATATATATAATATCCAGGAAATTTCAGATTTCTAGTGTTTATCCTGAAGTAGGAATTTTTCCATGACTTATTTGGAATATCAAAGGAGGTAATACCCAAGGAAAGTATTACAAACTTTTTTTGTTATAGTGTTTGCCTTGGTTTTGGGAAAGCTAGAATTAGAAAGACACTGGAGAAGATACTATAAATTTGAGATCTACAAGGTATTTTTCAGGTTTGAGTTAGGCCATTGCTGAGATTCCTAAATTAGGATAGACTCCTTGGAGCCAACAAAATCTAATATTCTGAGAGCCCATAGCCACTTCCTTATCAAACCCTGGGAATATTTATGATAATGGCTGCTGGGAGATAGGTTCAGGTGTAGGTAACCGACTCAAAGCATAAAAGAAACTCCTAGACACAGAGCACCAAGGTGGAAGAAAGAAAGGATGTTCAAAGGATGTAGCAAGGAGAATAACAATTATGATTTGCACAGATTAGTTAATAAAAATTCTTAAACATAAAATTCCCTTTTGGAACAGATCTTTTATAGCATATTCATCCTGTATCCCAATATCTAGAACAGTGCATAGCACATGAAGGTGCTCAATGAAGTCCTATGAAGTTAAAAAAAAATCTAAACATCTGGCTTGAGGACAGGAAACTCTGAAGCAATGTAAGTTGCTTTGTATCCAAGTTCTGGGGATGGCAACGTAAAAAATAGGAGATATTACATATACAAACAATGTGATGTGTTATGGTACCTTATGCCTAAGTGGCTTAATAAACTACAACAAACTCAATTCTGAAACTTTAGGCTTGTTCAGACCATTAGAGGAGTCCAATGACTGGACAATGGCTGCTGCTGAGTGCCTGCCAATATTGCGTAAGAGCACCAACTTAATTCTAAAGCATCATAATCCAAATGCAAGGACCCATTATTTCAAAATCTTGTCAAGAGCCCTAGCAGAGAAGACACAACACAGTTCATGAGAAAAAAGAAGCAAAGTGAAATAATTAAGGCTTATGCATCTTCAAAAGCACAAAAATGAACTCCAGAACTTAACACTTGGAAAAAATGGATGGTGATTATTGTTGCTGTAGAAGATCCCAACACAGAATACGGAAAAAGATATACAATGTCATTTTGAAGGCCTTCATGAGCAAATCAACAGTGATGTCCTTTTACTTGCAAGGTTTAAAGTAATCATCTATATATATGCCTATTAAAAGAGAAATGATTTCTATTATTATCTACTTGGGCTGGAACCAGAGACTCAAAGCAAAGGCCTATCCCTTGCCCAGAAAGACTGAGAGAAGGAGCAGCAGATTAGTTGATTTGACACAGGAAAGCAAAAAATCATGCCCAAGGAGATATTTTTACCTTTCATAAACAGTTTTTATTGTTGTCATCAAATGCCTCTACTTTTATAAACCTGAGCTTCTCAGCCCAACATTTATAGAAAATTGCCAAGTATCATTTGGAGGTAAAAGCACAATTCAATATTTATGAATTGCTAGTTTTCTATAAATATAGACATTTGGAGACTATCTTCTCACTAGTCATTAATATTTGAACAGAGATCAAAGCTATAACAATATTAACAATTCCTTGCATTTGTATAGGGTTTTATATAATACTATTAATGATAGATGCCATTTGTTGAGCACTTAGTAAGTGCCAGGCACTTTGCATGTAAATTCTCATAACAAATTCAGTTCATTTTAACAGGCATTCACTTAACACCTACTGTGTGATAGATGAATAGATTAATAATACTAGGTTTTTGTCTTTGAAGTCTTTCATTTTGTTGTACTCAATCAATGTTTGTTGAATGAATAAATGAATGAATGAATTGGTTGAAAAGGTATTATGGGGTAACATAAATAACACAGGGCACTCTCTTACTCTTTATGGTCTTAATAAAGTACTTAACTTTTCCTTGCCTCAATTTTTTCATCTGTAATATACGGATATTTAAAAGTTCCATTGCAAAAATGTGGAAATAGTAACAACAAATATAAAGCATCTGACCCAGATGGCTTTGTAGTAAGTGGGGTAGTTATCATTACTAGTATTATTAATATTATTACTATTATTATTACAATTATTAACCAATCCTATCCGACTCCCCTCCTCCTCACTATAGCAATGGTACAAATAGAACTTTAAAATACACACACACAAAACACAAAAACCATGCAAAGCAAGAGAAAGCTACTGAACTGTAGTTCCTAATGTCCTCCTAGGTTATTATACATAATCTATGCTTAGGCTAGGAAAAGAAAAGAACCAACTTTATTTATGTTTCCAAAGATACCAAGATAAAAGCCAAACAGGACAGGAAGCTTACCAAATAACTGACTGTCTTTTCTCATAGTTGAATGCTGATCATTTCAAGCATAGGACCATATTTCCAACATTCTCAAGAACAGTACCCAAAGAATGGCCATACAGAAACCCATCCTCATTCTTCTCAGTGACAGTAAGTCTGATCCCCCGCTGTACAGCAGATAAACTTGAGCTCTGGGTAAAATTTTCTTTTTTAAAAGAATTATTTTTATTTTTTGGGGGGTCCATTAGTAGGTGCGTATACATATGGGGTCTGGGACCAATTTTCTAACCAGGAAGGAGTCTCATTCTGTAGATCACTTACCATTTTGGTCTGCTGGTAGATTTCACCATAGGGGCCATCCCATCTCTATAGAGACTCTTGGTTTTACTGAAGTTAACAATGTTGAAAATGACCCTCTGAAAAAGAAAGAGGGAGAAGTTCATCTTAAGACTATGCAATACAAATTGCAACTTCCTGATAATTAAGACAGGAAAGAAGAAACAGGGTTAAAGGCAGCCATATGGACTAGCGGCCAACTGTATAGTGAGAATACACAGTGATCATGAGAATGTAATGTGTTTGTGCCAGCTGAGCATAGTAATTATGCATTAGCTCTGGAACCTGGAAACTTGAATTTTAGTACCAACTCTACTGCTTTTGAGTTGTGTGGCCTTGCCAAGCTACTAAACATCTGTTTCAGTATCCTGATCTGAAAAATGGGAATAATAACAGTACCTACTTCGTAAGACTCTGATGAGAATTAAATTAATATATGTACAGTATTTGGAACCATACTTGGTACATAATGAATGTCATATAAGTTTTAGTTACTATTAACTGTACCCTTTCTCTTGACTGACCTAGAATTTACATAGAAATAAATCATATTATCATCGGGGTAAGAGTAGTACATTTAAAGTTCAAAAACACTAAAAATAGTAACTAAGAACAAAATTGCAATTAAAAAATTCTACAACTACTTGAAACCCCTTTGACTAGAACTGGAGGATATATATATCCTCTTCTGTACCCTCTTTGTTATTTTCTTCTAGGGGTCGGGGTACTAGGCTCAACTCTAATCTTAGCATACGTTTATAGCACCATAGGTACTTGGGTAAATCTCTCCCCATCTCTGGGTCTTATCTTTAAAATGAGTGATTATGACATTCTAGATGCCTTTCCAAGAGGATAGTATAATTTTAAAAGATTGGATCTTTGTTTTAGCAAACAACTTTGTGGTAAGAGGGGAGGGAAGATTGTGAAAGAGAAGAGAAATGTGATAAAAAGACACTTGAAACCACTGAAATAGTCCAAAGGAGAGATGATGAGAGCTACAGGTAGAGCAGCCAGAATACCTCGAGAGAAGAAAAGATTTCAAGAGGTTACCACAGGCTAGCCTTTCTATCCAGGGACAGTGAAAAAACCATAAACATAAAAATTCATGTATCATTTTATTCAACAAATATTTATTGTGTGAGGTATTATATAGTATCAAGTGACAGTAATTTTATATACTTTTTAAACATTGGAAATATTCTCCTATAACCATAAAAAATAAATATGAACATCTTCATTTAATAAATGTAGAAACTATGGCTCAGAGAAGTTACCTAACTTGATTGAATTCATACTAGTAGATGAAAGAATTGATATTTGAATTCAGGGGATAAACTGATAAGATGTCTATGATTTTTACTCTTGAGTTAATCACTAAGATTCCAAAATTCCATAAACCTAAACAAGTCTATTTTCCAGGGGCAAAAAATAAATTTAATGGTAATTATTCAAGTCTTTAAAATTTTGTTTTGTTAAAAAAAAGAAAATCAAAACTATTTCCTCTGACCTCATGTTTAGGACTATAATAAAATGCTTTGTCCCATGAAATAAGCTTTGAGGGATAACTTGTATTTTCCTTTCTCCCAGAGACCCAGCCATTTACCCCATCTCTAGGCATTTTGGTTTCAGGCCTCTCTTCTGTCATTAAATTAAGTCATCGAGAATGTCCAAGGCTGTTCCATTATTAATGACCTAGACCTGCCTTTTGTCAATTCAATTACTTCACTCAGGGTCTTGGCTAGTATCTGACTTAAGAAAATCAATATTAAGGGGACAAATGGCCTTTGAACCTCAGAGGGCATAACCCCTCCCCTGCCCCCCGCTTCTTTTTTCTGAGATTCCAGTTATCAGATCCATTTCCAGTGAACCTGGAAGCCATACTGCACTTTCAGGATCTAGATTATTGATAAATACAGAGAGAAAGCTAATAAAGCAATGATGTAAACATGTGAAGCTGGAATAAAGAAATGAGAAAGTGAAACATACACTGATCATTAACATCCTACTGTGTGCCTAGGAAATTTCCCAGGTATTTTAAATATGCTATATTATTTTCTTAATCCATTTATAAATAAAAGTTGTTTATTTTAGCCCAGTTTTAGATGTGAGAAAATTGACACTTAAACAAAGTGGCTTGTCCTCCAAAAATTCCCAACCTATTGGTAGAGCTAGGACTTAAATCTTAGGTGTTTTGACCATAAAGATCATACCTTGTCTATAATATTACATGGAAACAGTAACATCATTTCTTACCATTCCCTGTTCAAGTATTTTTTATGTTTTCCAGCCATTTAGCAACATCGCTTGTGGTAGAGAGATTCAAAAGTATATGAAAGCAGACAGTACAGGAAACACTGAATTTCCATATTTTATACTTAATCATTAGTTTTTACTCAAAATGAATAAGAAGACGTGGCATCCATAAGATAATGGTAACCACAACAATAATAATAACAATTTCTGAGCACACACTATGTACCATAATCTGAGTTAAGCACTTCATTCACATTAGAACAATGTTTTATATATTAGAATAACCTAGTTGTAACTTAGAATCACTCGTATAGGTTTTAAAATAACAGATGCTTGGGCCCCACCCCAGAGAGTGATATTTGATGCATTATCTCATTTGTTTTGAGGATAATGAACTTTTTGAGACAGGAACTATTTGTCACCACTTATTTACAGATGAGGGAGTGGTAATGTGATTAAGCAAAGTAAAACCATATAACTAATAAGTAGCAGAGCTAGTATTTAAACCAAGTCTGTTGCCTCAGAAGAATAAGATTACAGACTTTTTAGCCAGATACACTTGGGATTGAATCCCAGTTTCACGTTCTGTGAGTTTAGGAAAGGTAATTCTTCTTCTTCTTTTTTTTTTTTTTGGACATTGATTGTTTACATCCAAGATCGAGATGGTGACAGTATCCTACCACAGTTGTTTTAAGAATCTATAAGATTATATAAGTAAATCACCTGGCATATTGTATCTAGATCTAAACAGTTGTTCAGTATTTATTGAGCCTTTCCCTTCTCATCAATAAAGCCAGATCTTTGGGTACGTTACAATGTCTATCTTTCTTTAGATTAAAATTTTAACCTGAGCTTCTTGTTTCAGTAATATGGTGCTCTATCAGAGCTCTGCAAATAGTGACCACAGTACACTGTTAGTCTAAGAGTAGGTATAACCTTCAAGGCAGTCATATGTGAGGAATGGAGTACAGCCCATCCTGACCAAGGGGCTTATGGTGCTACTGAAAATGTGCAAGTTCCATTTCAGGTATAGGCCAAAGAGTGGTCCAATGTGGGTAAAGGTATCATGAACAGCCTGCGTGCAGTCCTAAAGGGAGGCCATGATTCTCTGTCTTGTCATATATGCAATACTTTTGTCAAATCATAACTAAATTTCCCATTTAATATTGTTCACGTTAGTTGCAGGGACTATTCTAATGGGATTACAACAAGCTAAAAAAATGCACAGCAATAAAACTATGAACAAAATGAAGAGACAACCTCCAGAATGGGAGAAAATATCTGTAGACTATCCATCCTACAAGGGATTAATAAACTGAATATATAAGGAACTCAAACAACTCGATAGCAAACAAAAAAAATTAAAAATGGGAAAAAGACATGAATAGACATTTCTCAAAAGAAGACATACAAATGGACAGTAGGTATATGAAAAAATTATCAACATCATTAATCATCAAAAAATGCAAATCAAAACCACAATGAGATATCATCTCACCACAATTAGAATGGCTATTACCAAAAAGACAAAAAATAAAATACGTTGGTGAGGATGTATAAAAAAAGGAACACTCATATATTGTTGGTAAGAATGGAAAGTAGTACAGGCATTACAGAACACTGTGTGCAAGTTCCTCAAAATACTAAAAAAAGAACTGCCATGTGATCTAGAAATCCCACCACTGGGCATATATCCAAAGGAAAGGAAATCAGTACATCAAAGAGGTATCTGCAGTCCCATATTTATTGCAACATTATTTACAATAGTCAAGATATGAAATCAACCTAAGTGTGGATCAATGGATGAATGGATAAAAAATGGAACATTATTCAAAAATACATATACAATAAAATGTTATTCAGAAAAGGAATTAAATCCTGTCATTTGCAGCAACGTGAATGAAACTGGAGGTTACAACATTAAGTGAAACAAACCGGGCATAGAAAGACAAATATTGCATATTTTCACTTAGATGTGGGAGCTAAAAAAGTAGATTTCATAGAGAATAGAATGCTGATTACCAGAGGCTGGTAAAGAAGTTGGAGGATTAAGAGAAGTTAATTAATGGGTACAAAAATACAGATGGATAGAAGGAATAAGTTTTAGTATTTGATAGTACAGTAGGAAAATTATAGTTAATGACAATTTGTTATATATTTTAAAATAGCTAGAATAGAATTACAATGTTCCTAACACAGCGAAAAGATAAATGTTTGAGGGAGAGGGCAAGATGGCCGACTAGACTCAAAGAAGTGGAATGGCTCCCATGGAGGGACTAAGATGACTGGTAGGCTTTAAACAGATCTTCAGAGGGGGCACTGAGAGTGGATGGAGGAAAGACACAGAAGCTGGGCTGAAGGGGGAAAGAGCTGGGAACCCTGAGCAGGTTACCACACACAAGAACTAATTTTTTTTTTTTTTTTTTTTTTTTTTGAGATGAAGTCTCATTCTGTTGCCAGACTGGAGAGCAGTGGCACAATCTCAGCTCACTGCAACCTCCACCTCCCGGGTTCAAGCAATTCTCCTGGCTCAGCCTCCTGAGTAGCTGGGACTACAGGTGTGTGCCACTACACTTCGCTAATTTTTGTATTTTTAGTAAAGACAAGGTTTCATCATGTTGGCCAGGATGGTCTTGATCTTTTGACCTCATGATCTGCCCACACTGGCCTCCCAAAGTGCTGGAATTATAGGCATTGAGCCACTGCGACTGGCACAGAACTCATTTTTTGAACCACAACAGCTCTGGGGCAATGGAGTTGCCCACTTTCGCAACCAGCCTCTGGAACTCTGGCAGGAGGAGAACCCTCGACCACCATACACAATTGA